GCTTCACTGAACCACTCCTACATCAGTTCAGAAACTACCTTGATAACAAAAACTTTCGTACCAAATTAAGTAGACTGCACCCGGGTTGGCGAGTCTCAAGATCGAGAGTTTCACAGGGGACCATTTAAGGTCCTCTTGTCTTCTTGATATTCGTTAACGACCTGTTTTGCACAGTTAGTTCGCTGGCATTGATCAACTCAGACGATGCGAAGATTTGGAGGTCCATTAGAAGCGAAGAGTTTTCGACTGACCTTACATCCATTGAGGAATAGGCAGTGAAAAACGATTTAAAATTAAACCAACGGAAGTGTCACGTCATGTACATTCTGCCTAACATGATGCGAACGATTTACACCCTCAACGGAAGGCGCTCTACAATGTCTACTCAGAGAGCGATCTCGGTTTAATAACCACTGAAAGCCAAGACACCAGCTCGAACTATAGTTGACGCAGCTAAGGCGAATGTGACTCATCAATATATGCGAAGATGAATTGATGCTACCTCCCCCGAATCATTCTGACTGTTGTTCCGCATGTATGCACGTCCACACTTTGAGGTTCACAACGTCGTCGCACACACTCTCCTCAAAAGATACAAAAATCTCTTGGATCGAGTGCATAGGAGAGAAATAAAGTCGGTAATAGGGTTGAAGAACAAACCTTTCGAAGCTAGAATCCAGCACTTGGAATTATTCTCCATGGGTTAAAGGAGAATCAGATGTGACCGGACTATAGCGTACAACATATCCAGCACGCAAACTATCCTGACGTGAGCATCTTATCGTTGCATCACCACCACTACATTCGAGAAAATCCTCGAAAAATTGCGCAGCAAAGAGCGAATCCCTGGATTCGTGCGGACTTTTTACCATTAAGAGTCATCTTAACTTAGAATGCGCTCATAGCCGAGGTGACCACAGCCCTCTCAGTGGACAGCTTTAAGAAGAGACTTGATAACCACTTACTGACATAAGGATTATCATTTTCTGCCCTTCAGGCTGTGCCTAAAGTATATCTTGGGATTCGCTATTTGCTATTATTGCCATCTTCTCAGATCCCTTACTTAATCTATCTCACCTATGAGTTTATAGTAGATCATGAAAAAGATATTGGATATTGTATTTTGCCATTGAAATATTGAGATTCGGGGGATATTTCAAACTACTAATTTAGTTGTCGGGGTAGTAGTGTCCTCACGAATTCGAGTTTCTGATAAGGTTGGTTTACAACGAATATCTATCCTAACTTTTAAAATCACGTTATAAATCTAAAAATAAACTGAAAGAAACATTTCAAGAGCACGTAGATACATGATGTACGAAGTCATAAGTTGGATTGTAAAAGTCTTTCGTTCCTGTTGAAATGTTTATCACTGATGGATAAACTTTCAATCTGTCGACGTCTTATGAAACGTGATTATAATTGAAAGCTTGTTCAGCCATGCATATACTTTGTGACTATTTTCATTTAAAAACTATACAACGTAAACTTGTTTGCCACTTCTTTCCTCAATTGAAACTTCCTTTCACCTATAGTTTTAACTTTTAAAACATCTATTTCCTTTTAAACAGTATGGTAAATTTTCTGTTGAATGTAAAAATAAATTTAGACGGCGAATATATAAAACAAGGGAAACATTTAAATTTTATGTTTTTCGAGATATATTTATTGATGGAATCTTGTGGGTTCTAGGAATCTTTCACTTAGTTATTACTTTTATTGATGACTATCTAGTTCAATTGATAGGCTCATAAATTAAATAACTAAAATCCAACCGAATTTGTGGTAGAAGTGTACTTTATAACATAAACTAAAACAGCAACTAACAGATTATAGGTTAAATGCTGGAGGTTCCTAATGTTTGAGCCAACCGAAATCATACAATCTTCATTTTATGATTAAGATGGCCCGAAAGGATTTGTAATATAAGTTTCAAGAGTTTTCTGTTATTCAGGACTTGGTTTTTGATGTAACCTAAAGCGAGTTTTAAACACCTACCAACCTGATGTAGGCTTAATTTGGTGTTGTCTTTCCTTGCTTCGTCAACATTTTAGTCTCCGTATAGTCAAGGTCTGATTTATGACTTATTCAGTTGTTACATCTCTTACTTCTGCTTTGTATATGTGCCTACTTTTTTCTGAATAGACCATATTTAATTCTTGTTTTGTCCCACTTATATCGTTATAGAAAAAAAAGATGATAACTCCATTTGTTTTCAACGCCCTTACAGTTTTTGGACTGACTCCTGTTTGAAAGTATTACAAGAATTGATTATACACGTTATTTGTAGTCACAACAAATCCAATCATACTTATTATTTCCTATTTGATTGGTTTTTCATATGTAGGCGAAAACAAATCTTTTTATAGTTATTATTTATTACTAGACGTGAAGACGAGCAATGAAAGTCAAATCAACTGAATTTAATATTGTATATTCTAGAATATTTAGAAAAAAGATATGTATTTAGAGCTCAATTATCAGTCGAAATGAGATTCATCGGTGTACACTTATGAGCTGGTAATAATTTAAAAATATGCATCATTTCATCCACTTTATAATTTTTCAATGACGAACCCATTTTGTAATATATTAGTCTAGAAATAAACAAGGGGTGGTGTCCACAGCTACTATGACGCTAACGACGTTATATATATATATATATATATATATATATATATATATATAATACCATTTCACTTACTAACTATTTATGAGAAATACTTAGTCTGAAGTATACCAGTGAAACTCTCTCATTTTAACCTCTATAACCATACCTTACTTGCTCAGTATTTTTCTGGATTCCGTCATAGTGGGAGCTTGTTTTTAACCTCATTTAATTATCTACTTATGTTACCTCTAAATCTAACAACGTTTCAGCTGTTGTATTTGCGGGTCCTGTTGATTGCCGTTTTTGATTTGTCTGTTAATTTTGAAATGTCTATTGCTGGTGTGCGATCGTCTGTAAGGGAGTCTTTGTGTTTAGCTACTTTATCTGGTGGACCTAGTAGCGTCGGTTTATTTAAGAGCACTTCCATGCACATAGTCCACTTATCTCACATTTCTTGTGAATATCAGTAATTGTTTTGCCATCGCTAGGTTTTCTACATACTTTCGCCTTTCAACGCTGTCTTCTCTCATATATCTAGACTGTGCATCGACTTCCTCTGTTACTGTTTCGTTGTTGCTGACTGATATTTTGATATACGTTTTTTTGTCTTGTCCAGACTACCTTTAGAGATCAAATGTTTATTCTGGTGCTTACTGAGGCCTAGCACCTCCTGGCATATTAAAGTTGCCATTTGTTTAATCTCTCTTCAGATCTTGTCCTTAGCAGTTTGTTCATCTCCTAGTAGATATTTCAAGGGTCGGAGCTTGTTTCTGTGAGCTACGTTGAGGTGGCTGTGCTTGTTAGCATCTTGAAGAAAGGCTAGATTAATCTTTTGTAATGCTGCTTGCTCAATTTTCCAGTCCTTTAGTTTGATCGCCATTGGATAGCGATCTCAACCTGTATAATTTCCTCATTCTGTTCCTGCTTCTTATATGGATTTTAATTACTAATTGATGCAGATATGATGGGTTTGTTTTTCTGTAGTGTGATTATGTAAAACTGAAGCTTGTGCTGATGATGTTGTTCAGAAGAACAATGAAAGCTGTACAACCAAAACATCAAGCTCAGAGAACTAAACACCACCACGAAATTGATGTAGCTTGGTGTTTATGTTTGTTAGGTAACGTAATGCTCTTTATAACCACATTGTTGAGGGTACATATACTTATCAGTTTCTCACCTTTCTGTGTAAATACCACTATAACAACAATGATTTATCATTTGAATACACCTAGTTGAATTTCTATAAATCATAGTAACTTGGAAGCCCAGCAAATCATCTTTGGACTCGTTATCCCAATAAATTACTTGTTTTTATTATTATCGATAAAGTCCAATGTATTTTATTTATACTGGTTTTATGATTAATGTATTTTTAATTGACCATGATATCATAAAAATTCATAATCATTTGTCAGTAAAAGTGTGAAAATTATGGTATTGGAGTTTTTACGGCAGTAGTTATACAAAATATCAGTTTATTATTAAAGATTTATTTTCGTTAATAAAATTTATTAAAAATGATCCTACAATAGCGTGGTAGAATGCTTGAAGAAGAGAATTTAACTTTCCGGGTATTATTTGTTTTTAGACTAGATGTAAAACATGCACTTATATTTGATGTATAATTTGTCGCAGAAAAGGAATTGGTTAGTCCGATATACAAAATGCTTAACTCATTTGAAACACTTTATGTTTTATAACATGTAAATTGTAATAAAATTTAAAATTTAGTGTTATTTTTCATTAAGGACTGTTATCAGCAGGTAATTTTTTAAAAGAGGGAATACAAACCTATGTAGTTCTAGTCCAGGTTTCCTCAGTAATAAGTAACCATCTTTCTGTAATAAATTTGACTTTTCAAATAAAATGACAACCGTCTGTTGGCTATCTGCCGTCGATCCTCTAATTGGTTTGATCTTTATTGCATGTTATCGACAACTTATCGTTATATCTGACTTGACTGTCTTTATAGGTTGTTGAAAAACTGAAACACAAACAGATTTTATGAAACTGAATAGGATATTATTGAAAAAAATGTATATTATGGTTTTGGGGATAAAAATGTAAAAAACTAAAGTAAGCTATACATATTCTATATGGCTTACAACATCATTTTTCATATCACATTGGAATAGCTAAAAGATTCCCAAAAATCTGTCAAGTTTCGAACAGTAATAAAAACCATATTCGATTCCGCTTCACCTACAGTATATTTGTAATTGAAAGATGTTATACTTTCTTATCTGTTTATTTTTTTCATCAATAATAAACACTATAATATCAAAATTTTCAATTTCTTTTTTTCCACAGTAATTGAATTTCTTTGTAGAATTTATATTATGGAGACTGACAATTCTATACCAGCTGGAGTAGATAAAATGTGCACTGATGCCAATGATAATGAAAAATTAATAGCTGCTATTGATCAAGGCACAAGTAGTTCAAGAGTGATCATATTTTCAACTATCAATGGAAGCATCATAACTATGCATCAGATAAATGTAACACAATCTTATCCATCATCTGGATGGGTTGAAATGGATGCTAATGAGATTTATACAACAATTTTGCAATGTTTAAATAAATGTGTGGAACAATTAAATTCAATGAATAAAAGTGTTAAAGTAAGTTTTTTTTTTTTTGTTAGAATTCATGAAACTGTCATTAAAGAGTTTCACTTGGTTCCAATATATGATGTTTAGCTGATTTCATTAGTATAGTCCAAGTGTCTTAACAGTGCATAGTGTTAATCGATCATTAACCTAATGTTGATAAACATTTCAAGGTTATTGTATTTTAGGTTTACTTTAGATGACATTTCTGAATGTTGTTTTCGTGCTAGTCTGCGCCATTCTTCAGTCAAAAGCTCGTTTTGAAACCAGAGCATTTGCTGTTAAATAATTTAGCTTGAAACTTGGTTTATGGACTATTTGTATTTGAAATGTAGTGAAATATTGTGTTTAATATTCATTGTAGTACTTCAGTCACGTGAATTTGTCTGAATTAAACTAGTTCTTATTTTTATTCATATTTTATTACTGCTTGAAGATGGATCATAATTATGTACTTGATTGAACTTGATTGTCGTTGTAAACTGAAACTATTTCATTGTTTTGAAACTGATCAACCAAAAGCTGTGACCTTACATGGAGATCTCTTACATAATAATAAATTTCTTGATATTTAAAATCAACAAATTTGCAGATCATTAATTAGGAATCACAAATTAAAACTAAATAAAGTTGAAAAATAATGGTCACTAGATACCACCAACTCAGTAGTTTAAAATAAATCGATGTTATCGGGAGACCTAAATGTCGTGAATTTAGAATTTTTCTTCAGTGATTTCGACTATTGAGGAGGCATGAAATGTTTATGTGGCAATTGTTTTGTATCTTCTCTCTTTTGTCAGTTCTGCATTTGGTATTAGTCTGCCATTTAAGCTCTCCTTTCAAATAATTGAGATTGAGAACACTGCTGTTCTTTTTAATTAATAAAGAGTAAACAAAATCGAAATCAAAGGCAAGTTTTATCCTTAATTTAGTGATGGAGGAAAAGTTTCTTCACAATGAATAAGCAATTTACTACGTTATGAAAAGCACATATTTCAAAAGAAAAAGATACATTGTAGTGTACACTGGCAAGCGAATGAGCGACTGAAACGAATAGTATGAAGCGATGTGGAGAAGGCTAATGAGCCAACTCAAAGAAATAGAGCATGACTAAGAATATATAGTCAGACAAATATAAGACAGACATGTGACAAGCGAAATAGGCACACATGAATAAAAGCTACAAATAGCTGACAAGGTCAAACGACAAGTGGAACACGTCATGTGAGCTCATACAAACCAGACAATAATAAGAATGAATGGTACATATAAATTGTTGCAATACAAATGGCTTGGTTAAATAAATTAATCGAAAGGGCTTAACCAAATTAAATGTAAACGAACTCGAATATATGTGGAGGCACTGCAACATTACCAAATGTTATTTCAATAGATTAATGTTAATGAGTTCAGATAAAACAGTAAATTGGTGAATAACAGATAATAATTACGAATGAATATAATTTCATCGGTATTGAGTACAGGCTAATATTAATAAATCTTTGAAAGTGAATCGAATGAAAATATCTAAATTATTAGTTATCTTATTTCCTTAAAAAAATGGGATTGAAATATGACAAGAAAAAATATAATTACTTGTCAAATAGTTTAGATAATGATCTTTTTCAAAGATTGAACAAATTTAGATAGAAATTCCAAAATCACATGTTATTTGTTATGATTTCTCTATAGGACAAAAAATAAATCTACCTACCTACGCTACTGTATTTCATTTTTCTTTTGCATAGAATTTATAGTTCATCTAAATTTTCAGTTTAAAACAGTAGGAAATAAAATGTATGGTCATAATTCATGCTTACACAGTCTAAATTATCTATCAGATTACAACATAATACAACTTATAACTTACATTAGATATTTAACTGAAGCGAACTCAACACTGAATGACCAGTGTATAATAAAGTACTATACTTGATATATCAAATAAAAGCTTACAGTTGGGATTATGAACTTATTCAATTAAAGTATTTAGTTCAATTCAACAAGGAATAAATACCTTGCTTTCGTATGCTCTCTTTTCTTATCTGCAAAAAAGGCGCTTTCGAAATTTATTCACCAACATATTGATTTTTTTGTTGTGCTATTTTATCTAAGCGTAAATCTTATTTATGTAACAAGTTTTATTTCTGTGTGAAACTGTGTTAATTATTATTAGTCTTTTCATCAGCTAATAACCAAGAGTAAGCTAACCAAAGGTTGAGTGTACTGTGTAGCAGTTCGCTCTCTCCTACTATACGGATGCAAGACTTGGCCGTTAAGAGTAGAGAATATTCTTAGATTGCTTGTCTTCGATCATAGGTGTCTCAGAAGCATTGCTCATATATCCTGGGACAACCGAGTAAGCAGTGCTGCCGTTAGCAAACGAATACTAGGTAAGGATGACAAATCAATCGATGAAATATTGAAACTTCATTAGTTCAGGTGGTTGGCACATGTGTTACTTATGTCAAACCACCGATTGCCTCGATGAGCTATGTTTTGTGGTGTAGGAGTAGGCTGGAAGAAAACTGGAGGCGGCCAGACCAAAACATGGCAGAAATGCGTGAAGTCACTGACAAGTGGACTGAGTCATGTTGATAGATGTAGGCTACGTGGTTGGGGTCCGCGAGACGAAAGTCACCGATGGTTAGAGACCCTGAATGGCATGGCTCAAAACTGTTTGCAGTGGCGCAGGTGCATTTACTCTTTGTGTTCTATAAAATTCTAACATTCTGAATTCCTCATCACCTGTATCTTTCTTTTTCTAAATTTACCTCACTGAAATGTACTTCTTGACAAATATATTCGTACCCTGATCTTCTCCATTAACAGTAATACTTCTACTATCTCTACCATTATGGGATTTGAATTGACAATCGCGTCTCTGTGCGAATGTGGTATGATGACCTGAACTGATGTACTTACGTACGAAATTCTACGTTGTAACTGACTTACTGTTCATCAGCTACTAGGCTGTACATTGGTTATGATTATCTGAATGGCTGATAAGAAGTTGCAAGCGACTTTTACATTTCAAATATCTAATACGATTATCTGTATTTTGTGTTCTTGTGTTCGTTACTTACAAAGCATAATCTTTTTAAAACTTAGCTTATTAATTCAATTAAAAAAAATGGTCAGCTAGAGAGGTTCATTTATAATTATTTAATGTCTACATTTATTTTCATCGAAACATATTAAAATGTGTGCTATTTCCTTTCAAGTTTATTTTACTTTATGAAGAAAAGCCGAATGTATTATATATATAGTATTTGTCATATTACTAACAATTATAAGGTTATTTTCGCTGACAGTTAAAACTTTGGAAAAGAACTAGCCAATGAAAATTGTTTTGTCCTTAGATGGAAGAATTTCAATTTCTTTCAAGTATCAGTTTTTAAGTTAAAATGTAAATGAGTTTAAAATGTGCATAGACATTATTCATTTACAATTTTCTATAGCTTTTCGATAAATGGCAGTTTAGCAAAGTATTCAATCTTCTAATTAAATTAAATTTCTATCAATAACAGTTTCATGTTCATGTGGAAAACTGAAAAAGTCACAAAATTGTTGATGTCAACAGAACAGCATGAAATTATTTCAATTTCGTCAGACTATACCCTGATTGTTTGTAGACTTTTGATGATTTATGCACAGTGTTCAATACTTGAAAACTATTGTATAGTTGGTTGACATTTTATGCATTAATCGTAATATCTTTGTCATACTATTGTGTATCGCCATGGTAATGAAGAGACAGTTGAATAAAAATATTCATTCACTTAATTTATATATTTCGTTATTGATGCTGTTGTTTTCGGAAACAGGTACTGGGTAAGGATAGTAGATCAAAAGATAAAATAGTGAAACTTCGTCAGTTCGGGTAGTTTAAATATGTGTTACGTATGCCAAACCACTGACTGCCTTGGCAAATGATGTTTTATGGTGTAGCAATGGGTTGGAAAAAAATTAGGATCGGTCAAACCAAAACATCACACGAATCCATTAAGTCATGTTGGTTAGCGAAGACTACCTGGTTGATTGATGTCCGCGAGACGAAAGTCACCGATGGTTAAAGACCTTGAATGACATGGCTCAAAATAGTTTGCGATAGCTCAGATGTATCTACTCTTTTTTCTCTCTTTCTATTTTTATCTCACTGAATCATACTTCTTGAATAATATCTTTAAATCGTAATCTCTCCGATTACTTCTATTACTTCTAATACCGTGACAATTGAGTCTCTTTGCGCTAATGTGCTACGGCAACATTAACTTATGTACGTACGTGTGTACGAAGTTCTGTGTCAGTCAGTCAGTTGCAACGTAGAACTTCGTACGTAAGTACATCAGTTCATGTCGCCATACCACATCAGCACAGAGATATAATTGTCAATTCAAATCCAATAGTAGAAGAGGTAGTAAAGGTAGTAGAAGTAATCGGAGGGGTTAGAATTAGAATATATTATTCACGAAGTATGATTCAATGAGATAAGTTTAGAAAGTAAAAACTAGAGGTGTTGAAGAATCCAGAAGATTAGAATTTGAGAGAACACAAAGAATAAATGCACCGGCGCCATTGCGAACGATTTTGAGCCATGTCATTCAAGGTCTCTAACCATCGATTATTATCATCTCGCGGACCCCAACCAGGTAGTCGACAATTACCGACATGGCTAGGTCCACTCGTCAATGACTTCATGGATTTCTGCCATGTTTTGGTCTGGCCGCCCCTAGCTTTCTTCCAACCTATTCCTACACTACTAAACAAAGCTCGACGAGGCAGTCGGTGGTTAGGCATACGCAACACGTGTCCCAACCACCTCAACTGATGAAGTTTCCCCACTTCATCTATTGATCTGCCATTCTTACCTAGTACCCGTTTCCTAATAACAAAGTTGCTCACTCGGGTGTCCCACGGTATTCGAGCAATGCTTGGAAGACACCTATGATCGAAAACCAGTAACCTACGAATATCTTCTACTCTCACTGGCCATGATTCACAGCCATAAA